ATCTTGAATATCATTATGTGATGTGTCGTACTTTATTTGTTGTCATTGCAAAACCAGTTAAGCCCACCTTTGTAAATTTGATTGGTAAAGCCCAATATCCCAAAAATTCCTCAAAGAGCTTTCCAACATACACAGAATACCACATCCTGTATCCTTCACCCTTTGTTTCAGATAGGGAAAAGTCTCTAAAACCCTTTAAGCAGCAGAACATTTAAGTAACCTAAGTCAAATCAAAAGAGGAGGGTTCCCGATCATTCTTATTTGTGTTGTCATTGTTGTCGAAAGACTTGTTTTAGTCTTTCATCTGAAGATTTGTTAGCAAAATATTGAGAACATGAATCAATCATTGCTTTGACCTCACCTTTCTATTTGATAACACAAACCTGCACTATCCAGAAAAAAGTGCTAACTAAACACAATTTTGGCAAAACATTAAGTTTTAATCTGCTTATTTTGATTTCAGTTAACACAAATGTCTTTGAGGGTAAAATTAAGTAATGACATAACTGGTTACTTGACAGAATGTCCACAGTTTGTCTGGCTGCAGTCTCTTGCCAGGCAGTGGGCAGCATTGGGGTGTTTTAAGTGTAGATATTGAGGTGGTGCTGTAGGCTAATGCTTTTTGACAAATGGACTATGAACAGAATAGAAGTGTGTTTTCAAAAATGTACAGTGTGCTGGCTGGCTAAAATGTATGCAAGCCATTCCAGCCCACAGACTGTATGTAGGTTCCATTAGCTTCTTGTTGGAATGCATTCGGTGACATTCTGATGTGCACTGGTTGTGACCTAGCCAACATATGATTTTTTTTGTGTCACATTTTTCTGATGTGTTATGGTTGTTGTTGGACATTATTGTGTATGACTAATGATTGTTTTTAACACAAACCCTAAATTAATTGTAAATCACTCAGGCTTTCAACAATTTTAGTTCTGTTTCAGTGACAATGGATTTTAGGAAATCAATGATATTATATATTGATATGTGGTTTGTTTGTTACTAGAGACATTACCATTTTTTAAATTAATGGTTAATTGGTTAAACTTACCATAATTCTTTTCATAAATCACTGTTGCACTTGCCACAGATCTTCTGTGGATTCATTATGTTTCTTCTGTCCCTGCAAGTCACCACAGACTGAGAAGCACCAAAACAAAGTTCATGTTTTAATCCAGTCAAGAGTTTCTTCTCTGTACAGTTGGCCATTTAAGGACATCTCAGATTCAGCTTGCCAGGCTCAGCACATTGTTATAATGGGATCTGCTTTGATGAGATTAAACTGTAATTTGTTCGCCTCTGATCTACTTTGAATTGAATGCTGACATAGGGCTGGGTGAATAATCCAATTTTGTTTTCAATTTAAATTTTAAATTCTGGTGCCATGTTCTGTTTCACAGTTGTGCTCTCATTTAGTCTTGTTATAAATCCAACATGCCCTTTACATCGGTGTGCTTTTCCCCCTCCCTAAAAACACACAACACTTAGTCGGGCTGTGGCATGTTTGGTTCAGCTCATTCCAAAATGATAGTAAAGGAGCCATTGGTTAACAAGAGAGGTAAAACCAGGTCACTGGTCACCTTTTTGGAAACACTTTGGTTTCACTGAGTTTGATGAGCAACGCCAGCAAATACTCTGCAGGACTTGTTAAACCATTAGAAATTCAGTCATGAAGTGGTCTATGATTAAGAAACTGGTGAAGACTTGGGACAACTGTCTTGCACTGCCTATCCAGTATGATAAGAAGAGAGACATGCAGATTGGGGTTAGGTTGATTAGTCACTCTGAGTGGTTCTTCTCTGAATGTCAGCCCTGTGATGAGCTGGTGATGTGACCAGGGTGTTGCTCTTGCCTAATATCAGCATATTTTCAGACTTTTGGTTCCCAAGGTATATTTTTCAGTCCATTTTACCCACTTTTTCTTAAAAAAATAGTTAATTAATGCATCATGGGGAATAAAGTTTTATCTTTTTAATCTTAAATATATTGTTATATTGGCCAAAATTAATTAGAAATATTCCAATAGACAATTCTTGTGCTGCCATATTTATACAAACCCTGATGTAAGCAACCTTGTTCATCTGATGATCAAGAGCTGTGGTTTGTCTTTATACAAAAGAAGCTTCAGGAAGACCAGTGGAGAAAGTTGGTGGTGCGTTTGTGCTCCCCACAGTCGCTTCAGTTGCGTCTGAAAAGCCTTTTGTTGTCACATGGGCGGCCTATTGTGGATGTAAAATAGTCAAAAGCCTTTTGTGTGACTCTCAGCAAACACAGGAGGATTCATGGACCACCCATGTAAACAGGGCTGAATGGGTGGAACTGCCACCTCCCATTCCTGTTAACAGTTAATGTTAACAAGATATTTCAATCAGCTGGTTTTCATTTGTTTTAACATACAGTCGATAAAACACATTAAGAAAAATGCGGTCTGTGGTACCCAAAACTTTACATCTTGAGGAGTCAGCAGGGGCAAGAGAGGATCATTCATCTCAATTCAAATATGAAATTCCGTTTAATATTTATTTACATTGTCTGCCAAGTCTCTTTGGCTTCTGGGTCTGAATATTAAATAACTGGGACCCTTGTCAACAGTTGGTCTGTCACATGAATTTTTATAAAAGCATGTAATGAAGACATTCTTTTGCCTCCTCCTCAATATATGGTAATATCTGATTACATGTCCTTGACCTGTAGAAATCAGATTATGTTCTGTAACTGTCAGACTTAACTGCTCAGACATGAATGGGGCTTCATTGCAAAATAGTTTTTCTACTTTATTTTTTATTTTTACCATATTTGCAGCAATCAGCAATTGGGGTTGTGAGCACACTTCCCCTTTCCCATGTTTCCTTCTTTAAATACATAAGATTAAATGTTGTGGCACTGTAGGTTACTACCACCGTGGCTGAGGGGTAGAGCGGTCTTCCTCCAACCAGAAGGTCAGCGGCTAGAATCCCAGCCCATGCTAAAGTGTCCTTGGGCAAGATGCACTGATTGAAAGTCGCTTAGGATAAAACTGTCAGCTAAATGACATGTAATGTAAAAGTGCACAATGTGAAGTCAAGAGCACTGAGAGTGGAGGCCTTGAAGTTATATGGGGTATCTAATGAGGTCTGGCATCATTGATCAGTCCCATGGCCTTGATGAAAAGAGGAACCCAGAGGCATTTGCTTTCACTTCAGGCCAGATGGTCAAGGCGCTCAGCCAAGCCACACTTAGTATGTATGCTGTCAGTCCCCCTCATAACAGAACAATATTATCATAGGCCCTAACAGGGTGTCTTCAGTGACATTGTGATTAAATCGAAACAACTTAACTGATTTAACTGTAGTGAAGACGTCTGAGCCATTCAGAACTAAAGTGTTCCTGTGATGCAGACATATGCGGCCAATGGATAATAATCAAAGTCCCAAGCAGTTGTGTTCCTTCATTCTCTGTGGAATCAACCTTTTGCCAGAAATAAATTATTTAAAAAAACGTAGCACTGACGTTTGTTGCAATGTGGACATTTTAAATGTATTCTCCATTTGTGTGCATCTGTAGCAAAGACATCCTGACCTCAGTGGCTGCTAAAGAGTGAGCCATCTCAGCTGCAGGGTCTGCCGTTGGCCTGCAGCTGTCACAAAACCATGTTGACTGCTTCCTCTTCCCTACCATGTGAGGTCAAATTCCACTTCTCTGTATTCTGCCTTGTAATAGCAGTACCAAATATCTGATCCAAACATAATACCAGGAAGCCAATTTTCGTCCAACTATGTTGGTATTTTAATTGTAATGGCTCCTCTATCCTCACATGCTCAAGACTTTGTGCTATGCTCCTTCATCCTCAGCAGAATCAGTGATTTGATCCAAAAATAAACAAATAAATGAAGAGCACTGAAGTTTGCTGCACGTGGAGATTTCCGTTTGGTCTCCATGGATGCGCATCTGCCACACAGACATCGCACCATTCCTCACAGAGCAGCTAACTAACTGAGCCACCTCGACCACAGGGCCTCTCGGCTGCAGTTGTAAAAGTACCTCTGGCAGCTGCCTCCTCCTCTTTGATGGGCTATTGTGTTTAATGCCACGGCTCACTATTCACCCTCATTAGAGTAAAACCTTCATATACACTGGTGTTTCAGTGTCAACTGTTGCTGGCGAGCCTTTGTGAGAAAACAGCAGGAGATCTTCCACAGGATTCACTGTGAGCAAGTGGTGGGGTTGATGAAGTTTAACGTGACAGATGCAAAAAGGGGGAAAAAAACAAATGTCTCCAGATAAAAAAGCGGAGCCATACATATAGAAGACAGTGACAAAAATGTCAAGAGCTTTTGGTGATAAGGTCCGAGACCGGTTTCCATGTGCTGTAAACAAAACAATTAATCTCTGTGGCAGAATTAATATATCAAGCTTCTGTCTGCTGCGCCACCCCTTGTCTGAATCCTCCGGACGATTTGTTGATGTTGTGAAAACTTTTGAGCGGAGAATCTCTCACTGGGTTGTTCAAGAGTGAAAGGAAACCTCTGGTAAGAGTCCAGATCCAATTCTCTGGAGCTTCTGGAGGTCATGTCTGAAAACAGCTTTAGAGAGATACTTTGATATAGGGGAGGCTAAATTAAGTTTATGGCATTCATATACATATACACAGGAAACTAGTTCTAATTGGCATTTAGGTATGGCGGTAAAGTTTTTTTTCTGTAACAAGCACCTGATCAGGATTCAGGATGATGAAAACATCCTCTCCCAAGTCTGTCATACACCAGACCAGTATGTTGGCTTTCTAGAAGTGTTTGTGCTGAAAGTCAGTATTTACCTGAACTCTTCTCACCCTCATTAATTGCCCTGCTGTATTTTATTGATTACGGATAAATGAAAATAGGCAATCTACATTGAGACAATCTTTGCCTTCACTGAACAGCAAACTTGTGTTGCTTCCTCTGAGGTGCTTGTGCATCTATTATTTCAATCACATTGGCTTATTGATCTGTCCCTCACTCCCTCCTGTCTTCTCTCTCCCTCAGACTTGATTCAGTGCACAAATGAGATGAATGTGAACATCCCTCAGCTGGCTGACACACTGTTTGAAAGGACCGCTAACACCAGCTGGGTTGTTGTCTTCAAGTCCCTCACCGCTACACACCATCTGATGGTCTACGGCAATGAGGTCAGGCTGGAGATTATTTTGTCAAATGACAACATGCAGAAAGTTATATTTGGTTATTCTGTTTCTTCAATCTAACCAAATCATGCCAGTCCTAATAGTTTTTAACTTATTTTTGATTTCTGGAAATCATTGTGACTAATTCTTTGGGAATCACTAAATTCAATGTTACATGCCCTCAAGTAAAGCTCTAAGTCGCAGCGGGTTCACTTGTGGTAAACACCAAGTGTGCAACCACACAGAGCTCCTCATACTTCCTCCTTCTCATGTTTTTCTTGCAGAGATTTATCCAGTATCTGGCTTCAAGGAACACACTATTCAACCTCAGCAATTTTTTGGACAAAAGTGGTTTACAAGGTACATTACCAATATGTGCACACAGTGTGATATGCATCCAGATACTTGGCCAATATTCATGACTTTACCTCCACACTTGTTCTGTTTTGAATGTAGGCTATGATATGTCAACGTTCATAAGGAGGTATAGCCGCTATCTGAATGAGAAGGCTGTGTCCTACAGACAAGTGGCTTTTGACTTTACTAAAGTGAAAAGAGGGTAAGAAGCTTTTATTATTACTTTTTAGTGCTGAGGCAACCATGACATTGTTTTTCCAGAAACATGGTCTTGTCTGACATCCATTGGAGGGGAACAGACAAGGCTGAATAACATTAAACAGTGTAACGATTGTATTTCCTACCATAAATATTGTTACAGTTGCACAAGCCTATTAGATGTATGCAACTTTTTTTGCAGCTCTAAAAATATTAAGTTTTTGTGCCATTTCAAAGCTAAAATACTTTGACAATCTATTCTCTATATGGAGATTTGATCACATGATAAAAGTTTAAGCATGTTTTTCTTTCCACAGGTCTGATGGATTGATGAGAACGATGAACACAGAGAAACTCCTCAAGACCATCCCTATCATCCAAAATCAGATGGATGTTTTACTTGATTTCAATGTGAGTGCTCAGTATTGGCTGAATTAAATTGATTGCCAACTCCAGTTCCATATATTACATGCAATTTTCAATCTTGTGACCCAGTGGCTTGTTCAAAATACAGGTCATCTCTGAAGAACTTAAAACAACTCCACCTGTCTTCCAGGTCAATGCCAACGAACTGACAAATGGTGTGATCAATGCAGCTTTCATGCTTCTTTTCAAAGATGCCATTCGACTGTTTGCTGCCTACAATGAAGGCATCATCAACCTCCTGGGTAAGAAAAAGCTTTTGTGTTGTCATAGCCTTGCAAGTTTACTTTTGGGACTGTTTCTGTGCATTATGGTGATGATAAATGGTCTGTATTTCTAGTCTTGATGACCACTCAAAGTGCTTTACAGTAAAGCTTTTTGCCATTCACCCTTTCACACACGCATTTCATATCATCAGCATCTATGGGCAGCACTTTTTTTTTTCTATGAGGGGCAATTTGGGGTTCAGTATCTTGGCCAAGGACACTTCGACATGCAGAAGGAAGACTGGGATCGAACTGCCGAACTTTTGGTTAGAGGACGACTGCTCTACCCCCTCAGCATTCATCCTTTTTTAAATTCTGCTTAGTCTTAAAAACATTTAAACAATTAATTGCCCTGTCCCTTTCCCACAATACACAAATGCAGCATTCTGCTAAATTGTAAATAATATCAGTTATCCATCATGGTCAAAAGATTACAATTTACAAACAGAGTGCAATATGACAATAACTTACTCCATTGATTTAATGAAAGTGTATGGTTAGACCTACTATTTGTTTTTTTGCTGCAGTCATTATTTATAATTATAATAATAATTAATTATTTTCATCATAATTATTCTCTTTTCAACGTTTCCCAATATAAATATCCAGGGGTCCAATCTCATTTATTTCTGAAATATTTCACATGTATACTGCTTCAATAATCCCTCAAGTGTGTGCACTTCCAAAACATATGTATGAGATCCCCTAGATCTGAGCTACATCTTGTATTTAGAAGAAGCATTAGAACTGAACTGGTGGATTGTAAAACACATGGTTAAGTTAATTATATTAAATTGAGCAAGTCTGTGTTTGGTGTTGACCAGAGTTCTTAGCATTCATCTGTGAAAGGAAGGATGTGTTTGGATAATGTCCAGTAGTAGTGTCCTGCACTGTTAATGTAAACCTTACCTTTCAGAAAGATGGAGCGGTGGAAAAATGGTAGATTGTTTGGTTTATGGAACTTTTTTATAGTAGGTGGTCACAAACGATTTCCCTGCAGACTCCATGAATTATTTTCTGACTGTGATCTAAAATTTAAATGCAGTAAGGTTTTTTATCACATGATTTTTTTTTCTCCTCTAACAGAAGAAACTGAATTGAAGCTCTAGTTGTTCAATAGCCCCCATTGCTCATGACCATAGGATAGGAACATGTGTATGATTAATCATTTGTTCCTATTGTTCTTCTTTACTCTTATTCTGAGTCCCAAGATTTGAAACAGGGCTTAAAGTTTGGCATTTTACTAGAAACTGTCAACTCGAAACCTTTACCCATAAAACTATGAATGATGATCATTTTTGTCATAATATGTTTGTTGTGCTTGTTTTCTTATAATAACAGAGAAATACTTTGACATGAAGAAAGTCCAGTGCAAGGATGGACTTGACATATACAAAAAATTCCTAACACGAATGACAAGAATCTCAGAGTTCCTCAAAGTTGCAGAGGTAAGTCAGGGACCTCAGGTCAGCCAGTTGGAGATGTAGAGGGGCCTGTAGTCATTTAAATAGGTCAGCATTTCATCTAAAAATCTGATGGTCCTTGTTCTCTTCCTGCAGCAAGTGGGGATTGATAGAGGAGACATCCCAGATTTGTCTCAGGTAAGCTTTGATAACTATGCGTCAACTTTGCTCTGACTTATAATAACCTACACCCATCACCTCTTTGTTGGTTGTCCTTAAGAAAAGTGTGCAGAATGGCAAAATCCAATGTACATAATATGAACGTATTGCTAGAGTGTATATTGTAGCATGCATATTTGACATTTGTCAGAAAAGGCACATTTTAGGTGGCAAACCATTGTAGGAAAATGACTGACAATGAGAATATCTTCAGTGTGCAGTAAAAAAAAAATTCTCATTTGAGTGACCAGTAATTATAGTCATACCTTTATTGAAATAATGTTGGTGAAGGTATATTAAATAGACAGTTTGCCAAATCAAAAGAAGAATGGTATGTCATTTAAACTGGTATCCAGCTTTGATGAGGTTTTAAGATGCCACTGAGAATTCCAGTAGAGATGATTGTAATCTTATTCGTATTGCATTTGTTGGGTTCTTTTATGATTTCGGCATCACAAACATATTTCCACTCACCATCATTGTATATCTCAAACCCTTGAGCAAATCAAACGTATCCTCACTCAAACCTCTGATTTGTGTGAGCTGAGCTTTTAAAAGTTTGAGAAATTCAGCAGGTCATTTTCTGTTTATAATACACATCTATGGGAGTTTAATAAGGTTGTTGTTCAGGACTGAACCTAATGACTGCTTGGTCTAAAACTCAGATTTCTAAATCTCTTTATAACTTCAACTTATCATGAACAATTCACTGCAGTGCTGGTCAGTTGTGTGGTTATTGTATTAGTTTACTTAATTGCACAGTAATACTGATGAGGCCCACTGTAGATGAAGTTACATGTAGTACCTTTTCCAAATACACTGTAAAGCAGCATTTGATAAGTATACTGACACTGTAATACTCTATCTGTAGATACTTTAATTGAGTTAGACCTCCTTAATAAACTTCCAAAATTTGGCTGTTATTGTCCTTTCACAGACAGCTTAGCCTCCTGCGTCTTTAGGCCTAAGAACTTTTAACACCAAGTGCTGTGCACACCAGCCAGGCATTGCATGAGCCCTGCTGCACATCCAAACACCTTGCTGCTCACTTTCACTTTTGACCCTGCACGTCATACAGCAAATAAAGGTGTGAATCAATAGTTATATAGTGGGATATGATGGACCCATCTTACATGACCAGTGACCTGCTGAGTGTAGCATTATTTATGGAGAGGCTCTGAAGTGAATTATGTATTTGCTAGAAATTTGTAACGGTAGCAGATCCACCAGAATAAGATTAGCTTTCTCCTAAAAGGTTTCTTAATAATATCTTGACAGTTGCCACCTTTATTTTCTGTATTTCCCCTTCCTTCTATCTCTCTGTTTTCAGTTTACAGTTTGTGTAAGTATCTGGACCTTTTCTCTCTCTGTCTCTGTATTTGAGAGTAGTTTATGTAGTCTTGGCAATAACCTGGCATGCTTCAGTGTTGCTATTTTTTAGAAGACATGTTGTAGTAGGTTTTCCTCAGCCTCTGAAACCTAATGTATGTCAATGACATTCATTCTAGGCCCCCAGCAGCCTGCTGGATGCCCTGGAACAGCACTTGGCCTCTTTAGAGGGAAAGAAAGTCAAAGACTCAACAGCAGCCAGCAGGTAGGTCTGCTTCATCCATCTTCATTTGATCTGGTTTGACGAAGGTTTTTATTTCAATATTAAAAATGGTAAAAAGTGCAATTGTTGCTATCAATTGATATCTCACATTTCATAACACAGTAGAAACTAATTAGCTTTGACACCACAGTGAGGTAGAGCAGTAAGTGTACCAATTTCAAGTTGTCAAAATGCTGTTTTCTGTGTGTGTCTCTGATTCAGGGCCAGCACCCTCTCCAGTGCGGTCTCTTCCCTGGCCAACACCGGCATCTCTTTCACCAAAGTGGACGAGAGGGAAAAACAGGCAGCCCTGGATGAAGAGCAGACTCGCCTAAAAGCACTTAAAGTACATTTTCTTCACTCACCTACATTCCTTTCAACGTAGTTCACTTCTAGAGAGGCCCACAGGTGTAACTGAAATAGTAATATAGCTTTTAATTTATTAATAAATACTTTTATCTGACCTATTTATAAATAAATTCATTTGCTTTATTATAATTTCTGTGACATTTGTGGTCCTCCATACACGTCAGGCCAGGGCAGCAGCGTCCAGCAATGTCTGCTGCATCGTTCGGAAAGAGCTTAGGGGAAATTTGCAGATGAACCTCATTTTGGGCGTTTTCTCCAAATCAGTAACAATGCTCTCATCCTTTGTGTGAAAGTCACTCCGATTATGTTGCCCTTTGTTTCCCTCGGTTCTGAAATGTTTAAGTACAGTTCAGCGTGTCATGGGCTGTGGCACAATCTTAATGTTGAGGAAAAACAGGGGAAAAGTTTACAACAAAAACAAAGTTACTTTTGTGGGGGATGTTTTGATTGAAATCAGTTTTCTAATGGTACAATGGCAAACTTTTCCTTTGCTGCTACGATGGAGTTTAAAAATTCCTCCAATTGACTTTCTCATGTTTGTATTAATTCTAAGCACAACAATTGATACAAACTGTGAGTCGTGTGATACCCCTGTGGTGCAGTTCACTCTACTTCTATTACCTGCCTCTCTTTTTGAGCTGCCAAAGTGAAGCAACATTGTTAAGTACAACTCTAAAAAGTCGAGTAGTTGGATGCATGTTAGCCTACATGTTTCTAACATCAGCCTCCTAATTGTTGAAGGAGCAGCGTCTTAAGGAGCTCCATAGGAATCCTGCAACAGCAACCACAGACTCCTCCCCTGTCTTCACAGTGGGGGGGACAATCAATTCAGCCCCTGCCATTGACCTCTTCTCCACCCCCAGCTCCACCAACAGGTGAGGCCATAGCATTTGCACCCAGTCACCCATCTTAAAGTGACCCTCCCCAGGTCAGTTTCATGTCTTCTCCAAGTGTGGGATGTATAATAATGTGTATAAATGTGGATTCAGATTAACCTATTCAGTTCATCAAATCTGTATTTATTAAACAGCATAAATGAAATGAAAACCATTTTAAATGTGTGTTTTATCTTGTGGGGCTTTTGCAGCTGATGGGTTGGTAGTTTTATTTAGATGCAAGTATAGGTTTGTTACAAAACTATCAAATTGGTTTCTGAGATTTTTTGTTTGGATCAAATTAAACTTTGATCCTTGAAACTAGGACACTGCTGCAGCAGTGCTGATAACATAGTATGGACTGCTGTTTCAAATGGGGACAGAATAACATGTAAACATAGTAAACTATGTTGAGGACAATTGCTGTTGTAACTTTTTCTTTGAACTGAGAACGTGACACTCTTTGAATAAGTGACCAATTTATCTTCTACTCCTGCTTGTTCCCTCCAGCACGTCCAAGGCTGCCAATGACCTTCTGGACCTGCAGCCAGCCTTCCAGCAGCCGCTGCCTCTCACCACCACCACCAACTCATGGGGAGGTCAGAGCTCTTGGCAACAATACAGTCCACTCTGCCACCACCTCTTTATACACACACATGCACACGTACATATGCACACAATACCAAACACAAGTTTTGTTAGTTGTAAGTAAAAAATCAGTGCTGATACGTACTTATGTTTGATTCATGTATTTTCTTTGAAGTGTTTTGAATTGTAGATTAGGGTTTTCATGATATTAGAATTTCAAACTTGACACCAATACCCATGGAATTACTCAATACCATTTTTGATACCACGGGGGGGAAAAAGTAACTTCAACATCACTGTTTATGTCCAGTTGCTGGTCAACTTTTCTCAACTTCAATCTGGGACTTCAAGATAAACGTAACACAAAAAATAATTGTGTTATTTTGCTAAATGAACATTGTCTATTAACGTTACACAAGGTCAGGATAACTGATAATGTTTGTTGCCGAGCTCCCACATTAACCTTAGTCATTTTATCATTAGCCGAAGCCGTTAGCCGCTAGCTTAATGATAACTTAATAGACGACTAATGTGACTAAACGGCCAATTGATAAAAGTTCAAATCCAATGTATCAACGTGTGCCGCCGGCCAGGTTAACGTTTATAGTAACAGTTTAATACTTCAATGTTGTTGAAACGGGAGCTTAGCTGACTTCTCGAAATTCCTTTACGAAGAACAGGTTGTCTTGACTTTCTCGCCACCACTTTGTTTCATTGTTTGCATATAGGCTTATCCACATCCTTAGTCTTTACCTGGTCGTTTGCCTCGTATGTCAAATACTTCCAAACAGCACTTTCTCATTTTCGACTAAAACTGGTCGTGAAGGCCCTTCAACAGCAGCACTTGCCATGTTAAGGTAGTTATTCTGGCGACACCATCTCAGTGTTGTGAACATCAACTAGTTTTCATGTGTTCAGCTGCTAGTGAGGGACTGTGTGCCTGCCTGTGTGCAGTGGTGCTGTGTGTTTTCAACTGGAGGTGGAGAACACGGAACTGCCAAAAGCCTCACATACTTACCTTTGCCTATTCATGCAAATTAAAGCAGCATGATTTGTCTGGCAGGTTAAGGTGACTGATATTGTATCTGTATATTGTACGCACCACTAGCAGTGTTACAGACCAAGATGGATCCATACCGATCGACAGCTGTTTGGAACGCATTAGAACCATGGAGTAATTGCAAATTTGATTTATCGTGTTAAATCAGAACAGTTGTGTGTATCATGAGAGTTATGTGTGCCTGGAGACAGGCAGTTGTGTGTTCATATGAACTGTGCATATTAAAAGCAGTTGACAGTGAAAGTCATCACTACTTAAGGAGGAGAAGAATTGGAGAAGCCTCTTGCATCATTTAAATCACATGTATGGGAGCATTTTTGAGTCCTGGTTAAATATATTGATGAAGGAAGAAGGGTGGTGCAAATTAGAATGCAGTGGTCTGCCACAGTCTTGATAATAAATGGGGAAACACCGAAAACACAACACAACAAAGGCCATTTTAATTCACTATTGAACAAGTGAGTAGATTTAAACATTTCATCACCTGCTATATTGCAAAACTTCCTATTATAATTGTTCTGTAGTAAATAGAAAGCACGTTGTTTTATACGTGACCACAAAACATGATCTTATCCAATCCATGTTTTGTGATCTGTTGCACCTCTTTCAGGCTCAATTACATGTTTGAATTATAAATCCCCTTCCAGGTTTTTTGTCACAGATCATGTAAATGGGTTTTGTGTAATTTATTGAACCATTAGCACAAGCTGAACTGAACAGTATTGGAGGGGTGGTGCATATTGAATTATGCATGACATCATTCTGACTTCTTTGTAACTTCTTATGACACCACTTATCATATGACATCATATTATGAGGAATAGGTTTCTGATGAATATAAGTTTTACATTGTGTCTCTATTAATTGTGGAGATATCTTTGAAACATTTTTTTTGGGACCATAGTTTTATTGACCTTGACCTTAGTTAAGTTATCAGTTACCTCCCAAGTAATATTCACACTAAGATTGTTTGAAATCTATCCATCCATGCATCGAGTTTTTCTGTACACAGACAGATAGATGGGCTCAACATAATACAAAAAACAACAATATATAGTATCATATTAATGTACCTTTAAGAAAAAGTAGATGTATGTTTGTACATGCATTAATTTGAATGGAAAGCTGATGTTCTTACATCACATAGACATTGACACACAGGCTTATGGTTACCCACAGCAGTATAGTGTGAGGTAGCAAGGATAGGATGAAGTGTGAAAACACCCCCACATCCAACTTTGAATATTCTGTCTTAGCAGCAGCCTGAGCACAGTGCCTGGTTGCGGTTGCAAACGTATATCCTATCGCTTTGTAATGTTGTGTGCTTTTCACTTGAGTCACATATCAAAAGTTATGTAAATAAGTTATTTGAGTCCCATATCAGCATTGTTTGTCTGTAATTCAGGTTATTAGTGAGCTGATGAGGCCATCTAGTTTCAGATCAGGTCACACGGTGAGTATATTCCCAACCAAACATTCATGCCTCATCAGACTATGAAAGTAGCTTTCTCTTCATATGGCAACAGTTTTTCTGGTGCCAATGGCTCTTGATTAGTCTTTTGTCATATGGACAAACAAATAATAATAACTTTATTTGTATAGCACTTATCTAAACAAGGTTACAAAGTGCTTCACAAACAATCCTTGGCAAAAAGGTGAATGAACCAAAGTAAGGAGGGTCCACTCTCATTCATGTCAAGCAACATTGGTTTTTGGTTTTATTGGACAAAGCTTTTCCAAAAAATTTGATTTAATGCACTTTGGATTTCTTTATAGACTGACACGTTTGAAAGCTTATTGTTAAATCAACGCATAATGACAGTATGTGTTCATGTTACCATATATGGATGACTTGTCCTTGTTTGCGTTTACTGTATTTTGTCACAAGACAGTTTATGCAAGCCTCCACAAGTCGACACATTTTAAACACTAGACACAGTTGTTTTATCATGAGCCCTGCAGATCCTGTGCTGGACCCTGAGCCCTCTTACAATGAAAGGCCTTAACCTGTGGACTACTTTATAATGCAGATAATAAGACCTGGAACTTGGGTTAATAACAGTGGTGATATGTTATCAGCCCATAGTTGTATCTCTAATGCTGTATTAGACCTCCTCACCTGCATCACTGGCGTTGTCCCCATGCATGTCATCTTGCATAGACTTTTTGTTAACTTGTCTTTTTTAACTTTTCTCACCCTCATCTCCATCATAATCTCTCTGTTCCTCCTTTGTTTCTTTTCCTCTTTTCCTCCCCCTCTGCCCACTCAGATCCTTTTAACTATGCTGCAGAAGCTGTGGAGGAATCTACTCCAAACTCAAACCCTTTCATCACAATACCTGTTGTCGATGCTGTCCATCCGTCCACTGCGTCCTCGGACGCTGGCAGTCTGTCCTCTCGGACACCTAGTCATGAAGTGTTCGGTGGGATTATTTTGCTTCAACTCTTTTTTAAAAAAACTTTTATTTTGTGTTCACACAAAATAATGTGTTGTACTGATGTAACAAGGCTCGAAAAATCCTCCTGGCTGATGATTTACTGAAGGTGCTTTCACTGCGAGTTGGAGTATGCCGTTTCTGAGCAGTAGGGACATAAATGCATAAAAGAGGAAATGCCTGAAGTTGTTTCAGGTCATTTGGTCGGAACATACTGTTTCTTGACACTTCTCACATTCTTTAAAGATCTGGCATGCTGCCCTGCTCCAAATATTTGCTTCCATCCACAATCAGGCCAAGTTTATCTCATCTCCTAACATTGTTTAATTTAGGCTGTTTAATCTCTTATTTACTTTTTGTCTCTGTTTGTATTTCAAAGGCCAAAACTCTTTGTTGCATGAATGTCTTCATCAGCAGCTTTTTCTGGTTTTCTCCAGATCATTACACTCCTTTTTTTGACTCCAGCTCTTCGCTGACATCTGATCTTGAAACTGGTGCACAGATTGAGACATTTACCACAGGTACTGTGGTGGAATTTGTCTGGCTGCTACGTTGCTGACATGCAGATCCTAATAATGTTGTGTAGCATTTGTGAGTTGTAACAGTGTCTCCAAGTTTAAATCTAAGCGTTCCTCTTGAACATGCTGCCCTCCTCTCCGTATTTCCTACAAATCTAAGAGCCGCAGTGTGAGCCTGCATTGTTTTTGTGGTTGTGCGCTGCAGTTAATTTTGTTTGTATTTAGTCTAGCCCTGTGACGAGTGCTGGCTACCTCTGCTTTTGTCCTGCAAATCCTGATCTTTGTTTTTTCCTCTGTAAAACAGCCATTCCCAGAGTTGCTTGGCTTCCTTGCTGCTTTCTTACCGTTGCTTTTTTCTGGTCTCATATCTTCATAATCTTCTCCCCTTTTCCTCCTGCTTCTCTCTCTGTCTGGTTCTTTGCCTGCCTGCTGTTGTTTCTGTATGTCAGACTCCTTCTGTGGGCCAAGCCCTTACACCACCCTCTTCCAATCTGAGCCCCCTGCTGTAGCTGGTCTATTCAGAGGTAGGTACACTTAGGTCGATCTCAGAATCTGGATCTCAGAAATCCAGTATATCTGATGTACATTACGTTAGTTTCTGTATTTCATTGGGGAAGTAGATCCAGTGACATCAGTTTTTTTGTAGCACAGTGGAGTTAAATGGAGAAACACTGATGATCAATGTCTGATTTTGGTGGTGTGTTCTGTAGAGCTGCAATTAACAATTATTTTTGTTGTAGATTTATCTGCAGATCTATCTCAATATCTTTTATAAAATGATAGAGAATAAGATGTTTTTGTCCAGTCAACTCAAAGAATGTTTGGTATGTTTGCTGGAAAGCTGGTGAATCACTTATCAAAAGTCACTAATGACTTTCTTTGGCTTTGGATCAAAGTGTTTCCAAAATGCATTGTTTGTTAATTATTCATTAGTGTGGATCCTGGGAGTGGAACAGTATCCTGTCACTTTTAGCAATATCAAGACTTGCATACATGGCTTCCATAAAAACAATACACATGGCAGTTCTGACATGTGTCATATTGGGCCACTGGTTGTTGCCCTTAACTAATGAGAATTTCATTGAAAGGTTAAGTCAACCATAGCCTGCGGTGAAATGAAAACACAGCACTGGTCGGGATAGGTTCCTTATGATTGCACCTATTTATTGGAGTCTTTAAGTATTTATTTTTTCTCCCTGTGTTTGTCTTGTTCTGGGAGGAACAAAGCTGTTCTGGTCTCAGTGTCTGATGGTTAATTTTCTTTTTCACTAGGGTTTACAGCCTCCCCAACGCCACAGCAGCCACAAAACTCTCGAGGCCTTAACGTCGACTTTGACTCAGTATTTGGCAACAACACTAATGCCAACAACCTGGATTCCACAGGTAAGTAATCCTACACACACTGACACCATTTCCAATTGGAAGTCAGCAGGCCTCATTAATATTACTGCTGCTGTTTGCAGCGTATGGGGAATAATTCTTTGGATCATGTTCAGGCTAGAGAAATCATAGTGCTGGACTTTGAGTTGTTTGTCAGTATGTGATTATTTGGACTATGAATGTTCTGAGTATATTCCCAACCAAACATTCATGCCTCATCAGACTATGAAAGTAGCTTTCTCTTTATATGGCAACAGTTTTGATTTGATTAGTTTTTTGTCGTATGGACAAACAAATAATAATAACTTTATTTTGATAGCACTTATCTAAACAAGGTTACAAAGTGCTTCACAAACAATCCTTGGCAAAAAGGTGAATGAACCAAAGTAAGGAAACATTAACCACCAGTACAAAAGTCTTAGTTGCTGTTAATAACTAACCAACTTTTTCAATTAGAAATAACCTAATGAAAAGATGGTGTGGTTAAATGAATCTAATTTTACAGGGAAGTCAAACACAGAAGGTTTATATTGCATTTTGTTTTCATCAATCCAGTGATTGAACATGATTGTTCATTCTTTCTTAGAACAATGTAGATATTTTCACTGCATTGCACTGTGAGAATCAAAAGGCAGTGATGTAAATGTGAGGTAGATCTTTCCCAAATATCCTCCCAAGTGCATCAAGATATACTAGATGTTGTCTTTGAATATCTTCTCATGTCATGTGCTTGTGCTGTCTTATCAGAATGTTAATTAGCATGCACAGATACAGAAAATATTTTCATTGTGTCTTGTTTTTTGTGGCTGTAAAAATCATTTTATTTATTTACTGTCTTTTGATGACTCAATGGTCATCACTACATTATTACATAAGTGCTATAAAGCTGGGATGGACTCGGTTCAAACCCATTTTCAGAAAAAATCTGTTGCTGCTGTCAAATAGTTTCAATTTTAAAGATTGTATTCTGCTGTGTAAACGATTTGAAAATCAAAACAAATGAAAAGTTTATTCGATTTGTTAAATAGACACAGGTGTAGTTAACACATGAGGCCATTACCTGAAACACCAGTAGTCAGTAATGGCCTCAACTCAACACATTGTCCATTATTAAAATATGTGTCTGATCAATCACATTGGTTGTGATTGATTAGAAATGTCTTTATTTTGATTAATAATGTCACTAACAGCACCAGGATTGTGATTGAGGTTATCAGCTATCTACCCTTTGCCTCAATGTATTTTTGTTCCTGAATGCAACATTGAGCACCGTGGATCTCTGAAGCCCTCGCTGGTTTCTCGGCCACTCACGATCTCATTATATATTGTTTTTCTCTTTTTCCTCATCCTGGGGTTAAACACACTCCCTGGGGTCTTGGCTTTTTGCATGGCGTATGCATGACTGGGTGAGTTGACTCAACACACATTCCTCTCACACAGTCTTTGCTTGATGTGCCTTTTTTTCCTGTGAGCCTTGTTTAAGGCCTCATCCACACTCAACAACCCTCTCTCTCTCTCTCTCTCTCTCTGTGTGTGTGTGTGTGTCTGTGCATTATATGTACTGTCACGTGTTTGTCTCTATGTGTTGCTGTGTTATTGTCTGTTGTATTGTTACTTCACCTGTTCTGGGCCCCCAAATCTTTTACCCCTCCCCTCCCCTTCCCTCCCTTCCTTTCCCTTTGTTTTGCCCCCTTTGATTAAGATGTTTTAGGTGGCATCCTCAAACCCACAGTGACATCCTCACCCAATCAGGGCATGACCCTGAATGGCCAACAACCCAACAAACTTGTGTCCAATGACCTGGACTCCTCACTGGCCAATCTTGTCGGCAGTAAGTTCACTTTTTGTGACTATCACCTCAACATTTGCTAAATAGAATCAATTTATAATCATCACATTGTTTGAACAAATCACACCAAACAGTTAATGAGAACTGTATAATTTAATGACTTTCTTTCTGTCCTCTTCAGATCTAGGAATGGGCAACGGCACAGCAAGGAAGTGAGTACTCTGGAGAAATACTTAACTCCATGTCCCTGACACAGCATGCTAAACATGACTTATACTTACACTTAATCTCTGTAGTGATCTTCACTGGAGTCAGCCTGGTGAGAGGAAGCTGACAGGTGGAAGCAACTGGCAACCCAAGACAGCGCCTTCCACCACCTGGAACCCTGCAACCATGGTAGGACTTGTCTGTCTGTCTGGTTGTAACATCCCCCAATCAGGAATCACCCAGAAAATCCATGATTTTCTTTCTTCATTGTCCCATAAGTCGTCATAAGAGCGCTTCTGTTCTGGCTGGACAGGAAGCCAAATTAATCAAATGGTCATCAGTTTTATTCTCATATGGACTGAAAGAGCCTCATCCCAGTTCAATTACCTGTGAACTGGAGCATCCCATCAATTTAACTTCAAACTTTTAAGAACCAGTAAGACCCTGTTGTAGATATATTTAAAAAGTGAGGATAGACAATTTCTTTTCATGCTGTTTTTCAGAGGCAAGTTTTATCTCGTTGAGTAAAGATACTTTACTCACATTTTACACACCAGCATTATTGAATAAGAGCCCCACCTGCAGTTGGAGGTAAACAGAATGGAGCACAGGGTGAAGGGGACCAGCTTCACCTTGCTGAGCAGAGACTTGGTCAATCCTATAGGACAGTGTGAAGGACTCCGCTGCTGCCAGTCTGCTCTTCCTGTTCTACACCACCATCCACCTGCTACTTGATTCTCTCTTGATTTGGATGGAGGGTGGGCCAAATTACATCTGATCTTTCTGCTCTACTAAAACCTAGCTTTATTTACCATACAACTTCCTTGTGGTGCTTGTTTAATAAACACACACTGCTTTACTGATTCCTGTTTGCTATTTTGAAAACAAGCTGTTCCATCTCACCAAGAATACCTGGAACTAGTGACAGGACTGCTCCCAGTGGGGCAAAGAACAGTGCTTATAGGTCGAGCCCATGAGAGCAGTTCCTGTAATCAACCTTCCAAAGCTATAACAATCAGTAACACCAGTTCCCCATACAGCTCACAGAGAGTCAGCATGAAAAAGGAATAAACACACTCGTGTAGTAGATGATAACTATTTTTCTAAGTTTTTGTTAGCAAGCAAAATCAGATTGTTTAATGTAGATTGAAGGTCTTAATGGCCAAGCAAAACTTCATTAAGAGACTATTCATCACTGTTCCAACGTTTCTGAGCCAGGCAGTTGGGTCGTTGGTCACCAACTGATGATAGAGCTTAAACCCTTAATTCCCTCTGGTGGCTTTGTCTTGACTGTTAAACGGATAGTTCACCCAAAAATGAAAACTCACTCATTATCTACTCACCACTATGCCGATGGAGGGGTGGGTGAAGTGTTTGAGACCAACTGTTAGAGAACCCTTTTGGAGTTTCAGGGGTAAACAGCGTTGCAGCCAAAACAATCAAATTGAAGAAAATGGTAAACACTTATTCAAACGTAAAAAATAAGTGTCTCCATACTGCTTCTGTGGTGTCGTCCAAGTGTCTGTAAGCCGCGACGTTCAAATGCGACTCTAAAGAGTGTTGTTTACTCCATGTTTTTAGACTAAATGTCCTCTGTGATCCACACGCGAACACAGCTCCAGAGAAATGTTTAATATAATTGTTGGTCATATTGAGTAGTCAAAGTCGGATTTAGGTAAACATTTCAAAAGAAAGGTTCCTGACGATAATCCAACAGTCCACCCTCTTATTATTAGTCCCAGTGCTTTTAATCACACAGGGAGCGCACATAGGTTATTGACGATGTGACCAAATGTTGGCTAATGATTAAAAGCTGCTGAGTGTTGTCTAAGAAAGAGTAAGTGATACAGTAAGAAGCAGATGCACACAGCATCCATCTATGACGCAAAAAGCAGCCTAATCATGTTATTGAGTGTCTGAGAAACGCTGAGTGAGATGCTCCTGAAACAAACCAAACATTGTGAGCGAGGAGGAATTCTGAAGGAGCGCTCTCTGTGCAATGAAAAAAGCACAGTCTCTGATGAAAGCGCCAATTTTGGCACCAGTGTCACGTCTGACTCATTTGTGCCTCCCTCGCCAATGACTGAATAGTTAATGAAACGTATCCTCCTTCCCGAGAGGGCTGGGCGTTAGACAGATCTGGGTTTGTTATCACTGCAGGGGCTGTTATCACAAGCAGGGGCTGCTCAAAGAAAGACTCTCCACTCACTTTTTTTCTCTCTAATCTCTTTCCATAAGGAGCCCTGCACCTGCCAGTTACCAACTTCTACCTCCAGGACACAACACTCTCTGCTTTATGCTTTCCTTTACTTCTGTCTATGGCACAGTTTAAAAAATTGATCGAGATCTGATTTTGGAAAAAAAAAAGAAGGAATCTAGCCGTTGTGTTTATGATGTCTTTCATAAATGTTTTTTTTTTTCAGCCTTTTTCCACTGTGATGTTTTGGGATTAACCCTGAACATGAATGTAATATCTGGACCCATTTCTAATGATACTAAGGCAGCTTAAATTATTGGTTCAAACTTTTTATGTTGTGAGAAAATGGTTGGATTTTGGAAGGGAAATTGTGCTTTTCGACTTAACTCAGTGTCCATTTTATCAAAAAGAGAGATAAAATTTGAAGGAAATGTGAAACCAAGTCAAATTGGTATTGAATGAATCCTTTGATCATGACATATTACTAAATAGATTTATTACAAGTGTGAGTGGTTGTATCATTGTGTCCTGATTCTGTAGAACTCAACTTGTTTTGTTGTGGTTTTTTTTTTTGTCACCTCAGGCTCCATCTGTCATGGCCTTCCCTGCAACCACACCGACAGGCATGATGGCATATGCAATGGTAAGTCAGCTGGGACTGTATGCTCAGCAGGACTGAGACACACACACACACACACACACACACACACACACACAAACTCTCCCTTTTTCTCTCTCACACAGGAGGAGTATGTGTGTCTGAGTGAGAGCCTCCGAAGTTTCTGCAGACTTTCTCAACCTGGCCCTTAGTATAAAGTCTGCAGAAACACTGGAGTAGTTAATGTGAGAGCACTTGGTCTTTCTATAGTTGTGATTACATGTTCTCATTATATCTGCAGTGAAGCAGAAGGTGGTGCACACACATGCTTCTGTATCCTGTCTCTATTTGTTGTTTATGTTTTATTTAGACAACAGCATTGCTTTTTTTCCCCTTTTCTCTTCAGCCTCCTCACATGGGCTCCATGATGATGACACAGCCCACTATGATGTACACCCAGCCTGTGATGAGGCCGGCCAACCCCTTCGGCCCCAATCCAAGTGCACAGGTAACTGAAGAGTACATCTACCCTCGCACTCCTTCCACATGTTCCAGCTTAGTGACCCAGGCTGACAGAACCAGTCTGATCTCTGTGTTCAGTGCTGTAATGCTTGATAGTGGCCTCAGCTCTGGGCTTCACTTTCTCTTTTCCTGCCCTGGATTAACACTAATGTTTTATTTTGATTAAATCAAAATCAATCAATTGTTGGTTTGTGCCTCGAACTCAGAAGCGTGTCGCTCAAAGTGCTGGTCATTTTTGGGATGGGATTTAATTATGTTGAGTGTGTCAAAGCTCTTAGATCTTAGTTTGCAAGGTTGGCTGCTGAACATGACACGTCACAAAAATGAATGAATAAAGTTTTCCTATATAATACGGATGTCACACTGTTTCCTTTTTTTCCATCCACATGTTTTTATAAATATTTTCAATTTCAGCATAAACACTTTCAGCCAAAGCTTGTAATTGGAAAAAGAAGGAATATTTGACAATTAAGTTTTTTATAACCATATTGACAAAGTTCAGTAAACAGACTTTGTGAAATAATAATGGTGTACATGAAGCATGTGAATTATTGCTCTCTCAAATTTAAACTGATGAAGAGATTAGAATAATTTGAATGTTTTTGAATGAATAGATCAATAATGGGTTTCCTGATCGGACATGTGTAGCATAGCTTTTCTTCTCTTATCATTGGCTCTCCATTTCTCTTCTGTTCTGCTCCCACCCCCTCTGTCGACCTCTGTGACTCAGTCCCCCACAACCTCTAGCCCCTCCAGTCTCAGCCCCCTCAGAGCACCAGGGAAGGACCCCTTTGCACAGCTCTTTCTACAGAATTTTTTATAGAGCATCTATAGGTACAGCTCGTCTTCCGTGTGTTTGATTGCAACTCCATTGTCGGCGAACTGCATGTTTGTTTCTGCCTTGTCTGAGCAGAACTGGCTGTGAAATGGCTGAGTTTGGAGCTCGTCCCATCACTTCCCCATTAGATGCCACCTCACTGGACTCTTAGCTGGCTGCTTTGCTCACTCTGTTTACACGTCTTGCGTCCTGTTGAATACAGGGAAGGACTGATTTAGTCCGTTTCTTTGTTCTGCAAGAGACCGAAGCTCTATTTGCTCGTGACTAGTAAGAATTTGAGAATTGCGCTTGAAGTCTCATGCAGGAATTCATTTTGGGCATGTCCGGGACATATACATGTTTTACATAGAACATATCATATCAACAGGACAGAAACAGAATGTCTGATTCATTTTCTGGAACAAACCACGATGCGTTGATGTGATTACAGACACATTTTACGTCTCTTGTCAATAGGACTTCAACTCTTATTTTGCAATACTAGCTTCACACATATCTTTATTTGCCTTGTTGGAGGGTTTTTGTAGATGTATTTATGTGCATAGAGCGAGACTGGGGAGGCATTAGAAGTCTGCATACTGGTTTCGTATTACTGAGCATGCAACTATTTTCTACATTCCAAAAAAATGTTAATACTGTTGATTTGTATATTCCCAGATGCAGTTTATGTAACCTGAGGAGGGAGGGAGTCTTTCCCATCTGAAGATGATTCACAACCAAGTCAAGTATCAGAGCGAACCTGCAGTTTGCTTCTAATGAACTCACCTCTCTGTGAACGAAAGGCCCAAATAAGACTGAATAAAATCACGGTGAGTCAGTGGCTCCAGCCAGCTCATTGGACATTGTGCCCATCTCGTCATGTCTAAGTCATAGTGGAGGAGGAGACTATGTGCTGCCATTCATATCATGTGGACAGGGATCAGCCCATGTATCCTGGACTAAGAGAAACTCAACACCCAATGGGATAGATTTCTGACATCACTGTTTGTGTTCATGGAAAAAAGAAAAGAGGGTTGTTGTTGCACACACACACACACACACACACACACACACACACACACACATACACATACACATACACACACACACACACCATTTTTGAGTTGTCTTTACTATTTTCGTTCCTCTTTCTCCAGGTGAAGCTGGAAAGTTGCTTCCTTTGTTCATGATTATTTTCCAACCTTCCTCAAATTAAGACAATTGCAAAAATCCTGTTTATACCACACATTTTTGTTTTGTTTTCTTTGTATGTATTGTTTGCAGTAGACATTCCTTGTATATTGTTTGTATTTATTTATGATTACCTATCAAGAGGATGACATTATTAAACAAAATGTAAATGTAACCAGTCACTGACCTGCCTCATGTGGAAGGTCTTCAGGTTTATACATAGGTATGATTGATTGTAGAATTGGGTTTTGAGTGATTGAGATGATTTTTTAAAAACAAAAAAAAAGTTAATATAAAGTTTAAAAAAGATGACAGGTTTTGCTGCTGGGGCACTAAATATTCTCTGTACTCGCATGATGCCTTGTACAGTTATCTGTGGCTCGGGTGTGGGGGGGGGTTGTCAACACTGAGGATCTGTATCAAAGTAATTGTTCATTAATACCATCAAATCTGCAAATCTGTGACATCAATTTCTATGAATTTGACAACATTTTTCCCACCAGCAGAAGCACTAGATTGTTTGATAGAGGCAGCCTCGGACTGGAAAGGAATCTCTGTTTATGCTTTTGATGCTTTTGGAATGTCATTTATTCTTCCATTTAACAAAGCTCCTGACTGCCCCCTTTCTCCAGCCTGAATGTGCTGGGTCGCTTTCATGGTTAGATCATGTTTTCATAGGCGAGCACCTGGGTGTTTAGGGCACTGTGGGGGGATGGGGTAGAAGTGGGGTTGGGGCCACTAAGGTCCAGTGGTGTAGGAGAATAGAGCACTGTTGATCGGTGCTTTGTGTGTATAGAACTGATCCTGCAGACAAGGGGTGGGGTGTAGATATGAAAGATGGCCTGAACATGAAAGTGGCCCTTAATCCATTAACTGAGCATTGTTGCATTGTCCCTGCAGATTATATTTTTGTTTGATTTTTTGTTTGTTTGTTTGTTTCCCAATAAATTGCAAGCTTCCACAATTCATTGCCTCTGTACTTANAAAAAAAAAGTGTTTACCATACATACTTATAAGACCTGATAAATTATAGGTGTGTTATTTAAAATTTGAATGTGCTAGTTATATAAATGTGAAGTATCCTCATCAAATACAGGAAACTGAAGTTAGACGGGACAGGATAGATCAGGCCCTAGTGGTGAAGTAAAGCCAGCGAATGGTAGAAGCAACCTCACTGGATGTCCTGTAGGTCATGGTAGTAATGAGAACCTTGTTGGGGGGCAGATTGTGATGAAGTGTAATTGCCTATCACTTGTCTTTATGCAATAGCTTTCGGTTTGTGCTCATATAGATTTGAATGTAAATGATAAACGTATCTTTTTCCTCATGATCTCAGTCCTTTAAATGCTGTCTGACAAGCTCCAAACGGACTGTCAGGGGTATTTTACCACAAAGATCTGATTGATGGAGGTGGATGAGATGGTTCCTCTTCCTGCAGTTTCTCCCAGGAGAAGACTTCATGGTCAGCTCCCTAAAAATCTTTTTCACTGCTCCATGGTCAACTCACCTCCATGCCCCTCTCTATGCCTGAAAACCAAACTGAGATCTACACAGAGTTCTTTGGACTTTGTGACTCGGTCTGTGTCCTGACAGTACACATGTGAGCCTTTCTGAATGAGGTCCAAGGACTTGTGTTTTAGTCAGGCACTTTGAGGGAGCCACAGCAGTCTGAAGAAAAACAAAATCTAAATTCACTTTGGTTTTGTGTAGCACTGAGCGTAGTTTGTAAATTATAGATCAATCAAATGAGCAGGAATGCAAACTGCCCTTTAAAGAGCATCTGATCTAAATATAGATGATCAAACTTCCATGTCTAATAATAAAAGGTTTGATATTACTTTTACTTTTACAGCTGTCATGTTTATGAAAGGGCATTTTTACTTGCACAGTCTTGACACACATGACTGATGAGCTACAAGGAAATGAGGGGGATTCTGCTCAGAGAATGCTTCACTGTAATATTAAATATATACCAATGACCTCTCTTGAAACAGATCAATCGTCATTATATCAGTGTCAATTTATTTTTTCTTAAACTGAAACATCAGACATGAAAGAAAATTTCATTTTGGTTAATAACTTGTTCTATTTAAACTAGTATCAAATGTGTCCGTGTCAAAGTTAATTATTCTTAATTCAAATTTAAGACATTGCATGGTTCAGTGGAATCTTCCAGATCAGGTCACTGCTGATTAAAGAAATTTCCCTGTGAAAAGTCAGATCAAAAGCATGATAATCTTAAACATGTTCAACTATATTCTGTGGTTAAAAATGGGTCCGTTGTTTGTATCTGCCCATACAGAGGGTTCGAACAGAGCATCTCATCTAATACCAGGCTGTCCATTCAGACCGCAGGTTGAGGATATGCATGTCCTGGAGAGACTGTTGATAAGTCTGTTATTAATATACTGTAATAACAGCTAATGTGGATCCACAAAAATGGAACAAGACTAAATCACTGAGCACTGCATGACAACAGTGTGTGTATGTCTGCCTGTCCACACACACGTCTCAAACTTTACAAGTTGTTGTTTCATAATTATGATGACTTCGCTATGACATCAGGGTTTTTGTGTCTCACACTTTACAAGCTCCTTCCGAACCACAGAAGACATAGAGTGTAACTGTTGTTACAGCTGCTTTATTAGAAGAACTACCCATGACACACAGAGCTCTCTGTGTCAAACTGTGCTGAGTTTAATGGCCGTGGTAAATTAAACTGGACTGCAGCTGAATTTGTGTGAACTGACTGATGTGGGATCAAGTGGAGAAGAGTCGATGTGTTTGGAGGCGTCTTCTGCTGAGCCCACAGGTGCAGCAGTTTATCTGTGTGCACCACACAGAGGGACTTTATGTACAAGGTACATCCTGCTTGGCAAAGCGTCTCCATTAGCAATAAGAAGAATCTTTGTTGTGCTGCACTTCCCCTTGGTTTGGATTCAGCCGTAGAAAGATGCGAGTGTGTGTTTGTGTGAGACTTTCATGATAGAATGAATTGGCAAGTTAATAAAAGCCTTACTGTTGAACTCAGGCCTTCCTTTTCCCAGTGGTCTCAGATAGATAACCTTATTTGACTATTCACTGGCAAGTCTTAGAAATATCCTTGAACTGTTTGGTCTGGATTCTCTGGTAAACAGAAAACTTCTCTTTGATACCAAATCATGTGTTTTTAAAAGAGTTTTTATTTCCACAAAAAAAGCAGATATTTCCACAGATCTTCAGCAGTCAGAATGGTGATTGTCAGTAACAAGCTTGTTGGAATAAAGGAAACAGTGAGAATTTTCCATTATGAACTGGTTTGGTGTGGAGTTAGTTATCCTCATTCTTGTCTCCTTCTTTATCATTAAATGATTGAAATCTTCATGTAGTTCTTCATCAGTTTCAGATTCTGGTATGAGAGATCAGCAGACGTACACAAGTGAAAGATAGGTCTCTTCTGCCACCTTGTGGTTTCAAGATGCAGCTGATGGAAGAGCAATGACTGGTGGTTATAAGATGTGTGCTACTGGTGTTGTGTGTTTGTGTCTGAAGTACAATTTATCTTCTCAATAAATATTGCTCTCTCATCTTCCTACATTCATATATCCGTCATTTCAGACACTAGTTAAAGTTAAACCTTCTTAATCAGACTAATTTTCCTCATATATCAAATCAGAGTTTTCTCTCCATAAGTAAAAGGAGATTTTTTTTGACTCTGCATCAGCGACAGCCAGTAGCCAGAGGATTTATGTGTTGGGGTTGTCCGACTGTCAGTGCATACGTTGGAATGTCCGTCCCATCCAGGTGAACATAATATTTCGAAAACGCTGTGGAGGAATTTCTTCAAATTTGGTACAAACCTTTATTTTTCCTCAAGGATGAACTGATCAGAATTTGTTGGTCAAAGTCACTGTGACCAAATCCTTTTAAATTTGGTACACATGTTCACTTCGCAGATCACAGATCAACTGATTGGAGATAGATTATAGTGCAGTGAAGATCCAGCAAATTTGTTTTCCTGAGGCCTGAATCCTCCAACCCAACACACACACATTTCCTATGAAAAGTCTACGAGAACTATAGTTATGGATAATGAGTAATACAATAATTATTCTGAAGAATTGTTGCAAGCATATTGAAAGTTAGTGTTGAAAACAGCTCTGGAGGCTGTAGGTTTTTCTTGGTGCAGAGTTTGTAAATGTATTCTTTGATGGTGAGTCCTTACTCTTGAACATGTTTGTTTAAGTCCAGATTAGAGGCTAATGAAGTTGTTTTCAAGTTACTCTGAGCATCTTTGAAGGTCATATTAATTACTGAACATAAACTGTATCACACTAACCTCTCTAATGGACTGAAATAAAGTAACCTGAGAGATCATGAGATGTCAGGTGATGATGATGATGATGATGATGATGGTTGTGAGGATGATGATGGTTGTGATGATGATGATGACGATGATGGTGATGATGGTGATGATGACGATGGTTGTGATGATGATGATGATGATGATGAGGATGATGGTTGTGATGATGATGATGATGATGATGATGATGATG